AGAGATGACGAGATGCTAAGGGAGTTCGTGTCCCGATTTCAGATGGAAAGGATGGAATTACCCCCGGTCTCCAATGACTGGGCAGTCCAGGCCTTTATGCAAGGTTTGAATGAAAGAAGCTCGGTAGCATCTCGACAGCTAAAGCAGAACTTGATCAAGTATCTAGCTGTGACATGGTCGGATGTGCACAATCGTTATCATTCAAAAATCAGGGTCGAGGATGACCAGTTGGGAGCCCCCTCGGGCTCAGTTCACCCAAGCAGGTTCGCAGCCAAGCCCCCGAGAGACACAGACTGGGGATCAAGATCCAACAAAGAGCGGTATCAACCATATGATCGAAGAAACAACAGTCCGAGCCACAATGCCTCTCGGAGCGATCGAAGAAATGACCAAGGTCAAGGGTCTCGGGGACTCATGAGCAGAAATGGGTTCGATAAGCACATATACCCCGCCGAAGCCCCCCGATTATCAGAGTACAATTTCAGCATAGATGCACCGGGAATCGTCTCGACCATTGGGAGAATCAAAGATACTAAGTGGCCCAGGGCAATACAGACCGATCCCTCCCAAAGGAACCCGAACTTGATATGCAAGTATCATGGCACACATGGTCACAGAACGGAGGACTGCAGACAGCTAAGGGAGGAAGTGGCTAGGTTATTCAATGAAGGCCGCCTTCGAGAATTCCTAAGTGATCGGGCTAAGAATCACTTCAGGGAAAGGGATGCAGGCAGAAGGAATGAACCTGAAGAACCTCAACATGTCATTCACATGATCATTGGTGGAGCCGACGTCCCACAGGGACCAATATTCAAACGCACCAAAGTATCCACCACAAGGGAAAACGGACTTGGGATTACTTGCCCGATGACACCCTCATATTCAGCGAGGAAGACATCGAGGCTTTATCTCAACCTCACAACGATGCACTGGTAATTTCTATCCTTTTAAATAAAGTTCAAGTTAAACGTGTTCTCGTGGATCCAGGTAGCTCGGCAAATATAATCAGGTCCAAGGTCGTGGAGCAGCTCGGGCTGATCGATCAAATCATACCGGCATCTCGGGTCTTGAATGGCTTTAACATGGCAAGCGAAACGACGAAAGGAGAAATCATCCTCCCAGTCAACGTGGCCGGAACCATACAAGACACCGAATTTCATGTCATTGAAGTTGACATGAGATATAATGCTTTGCTCGGAAGGACGTGGATCCATAGCATGAGGGCGGTGCCATCGACCCTCCACCAAGTGATGAAGTTCCCAACGAAGGATAGCGTGAAAACAGTATATGGAGAACAACATGCAGCTAAGGAGATGTTTGCAGTGCACGACTTGACACCAGAATCAACGTCATTATCGGAAAAGTCGAAGGATAAATAGGCGGCCAAATAGCAATTATAGCTCATGCCCTCGGTTGATCCCGAGGGACAAATGACGAGTGTCTAGCGTATATATAATTCTGACTCCTACTCTGTCAAATTATAGTATAAAAAGATGTCGACCCAAAGAGATTGGTTTATCTATTCTACAGATGTTTCTTGTTTTAATTACTATGTGAGAAAATCTGAAAGAGTTGAGTTGTGAATCAACTAACAAAAAATGCACGAATGGAGAAAATATTTTTGTTTTTCACAAATATATAAAAAGGTGCTGGGATCCTGACTTCACTTAATATTTTTATTATATAGTAGATACATTTATCCTTCAACTTCTATTTCTCATAAATGTATAAATGCCTCTCACGATTACATTTATATATTATCACTATAGTTGAACAATTAAATGCACTACTCTCGGTTATACAAATTAATCGTTAAAATGGTAATATTAATGAACCAGAAAAATATACTTGAACTAAAGCATGCTCTTTTTTAGTAAGTCCCTTTCGGTTACCCTACTTGTTATAACTGATTACTACAATATTCGCCTCTTTCGATTACAAATAAGTGTAGAATCAATATTAACATATATGAGCTAGATGTCACTAAATATAGGTAACATCTATCAATAACAAAATTAAGTATTACTTCTTCTGCCTCTTTCGATTACAAAATTAGTAAGAAGTTAATATGTAGTACAAAATAGATAGATGTTAACAAATTAAATAACACCCAACTATAAAGCAGATAAAATTTAAATAAAAAGCTTCAGCTCAAGCATGTGAAATTGAAGAATAATATCTACTATTATATAAAAATATTAAGATCCGTCATTTTCCCAACACAAGAAAAGTTACTCCATATTAAAGACAATACCGACAACGGAAATAATCTTGCCCATTAAATAAGAAAATAGAAAGAAATATTTCAAGAGAATAATTTCTCCTATTTAATTAAAAACAGGAACTAGAGTAATTTCCAATACTACAATTTATTCAGAACAGAAATGAAGCCAGAGTAATGGCTAAAAGATGAAAAAGAAGCGAAACTAAAGAACAAAGAGAAAGGAAAAACTTTCTGCACAATATTACACTTCTAAGATTTCTTTTTCGCTCTCCTCCTCTTTCATTTCACGAATGATGCCTCTTTTTATAGGCAAGCCATGATAAAGTTTTCAATTCACTTCTGGATATGAACTTGCCATGGTTGGTTGTGGCCTTGTTATGCTTGGTTATGATATTCTGTTGTAAGTTAGTTATGGATCGGTTATAGTTTGTTGTAGCCGGTTGTGAGTCGGTTATCCTTTGTCATGGTAGATCACGTTTATACAATCTTTCTTTGGATAATTCAGTATTTGAACATTTCTTGTCTGATATCTCCTTCATTGATGAACTATGAATTTTCTTATTAAATTATGATATTTCCTGCAAAGAAAATTAAAATATTAGTATCTAAAAATCAAATAACAGCTTAATTTATATATGAAATTTTGTTTTATCAAATTCTCCCACACTTAAATATTTGCTCGTCCTCGAGCAAATAAAATAACTAAACATATCAGCTAAACAATTTAACCAAAATCATGAGACCTTTTGCCAAAGAAAAAGTAACTAAGACCAATTCACAAGTTCATACAACTTTTAACCGTACTCATATTCACCTATTGAGAACTGAAATCATAATATTTCCTAATCCCTAGTGTGTCTCACCAAATGAAGAGAGATGCCCATATATCACACAATATATAGATGTAGAACAAAGAAGGGCATAGATAGAAAAATTCACTCACTCTCAACAAAGAAGTACCTCAAGCTACTGGAAATTTCCATATGCTTGACTATCATGTGGTTCTCCACTAATGTAGGAGTCTTTGAGTCGAGATCATGTAGGACTTTTGACAGGTTGTAATGTAGGTTTAGGGATAGGTATGATACATATGGATAATAGTGACTTAAAATTCCCTATGGGCACTACACTTTATTTTATCACTTAAGCACAATTGTCTTTGCTATGATTTAAACAATAACCTCTATTTTGTTTCATCCCTTTCACATTTTTTTTACAGAGATGCCGACATTTCTTTGTTGCTATCATCTCCTTTTTTTTTTTAAGAATTTCAGAAGCAACTATCTTTTTCAGTTCTTATGGCAACATCTCAAAAGATTGACAACCTCAAACAATTATTCTTTCACCAATTATTTTTACAATTACACCTCACGCCTAGATTTTTACATTCAGATCAACTCTTAAAGTGCCCAAAAGGGAATTGGGTGAACAAAGAACAAGTCATAACAACAAACAGGCTAAGGGTTAAAGCTTGGTGATCAACAAAATAAGAGATAATTTATTTAAGCTCAACTAGGCTAACTAGGGATAAAAATCATCAAGGTAGGTCAATTTAGGTTATGGCTCAACAAGAAGGCCCACGTTCATTTCTTAACTCAAAGATCTACCTAGAATTTCGCCTCAATCCACATTCAAGGCAAGTTCTAGATTTCCAGATAAGCAGGAGAACTAGACAATATAAGCTAACAACACTATACACTTGGGCTAACGAAAACTATGATTTCAATCACCAATAAGTAAGTATGAGCTTAGAAAAGCAATCTTAAAACCCATGAATGATACTTAATCAAATTCATCTTTTCTAAATCTCATGCTTTTCAAGTCAAATCAAGTTTAGCCAACTTATTTACCAAAACAAGTTAAAACAACTAAAAGTCCTAAAAAAAATGTTCAGTTCAAAAAAATTATGACCATGGCAAAGAACTGAACAAGAAATCCATGGAAGTATTGAAATAAGTTGCCTTAAGAATAAGGCAACTAAACATTTTTTCAGTTTTGTTTTTAATTTTTTTTTTAAATTTTATAATTTTACTAAAAACACATTTTTTAGTTGTAAAATCTACATTTTTTATATTTAACCGGAAAAAAACTTAAAAGAAACACATATATATCACAAACATATTCCTCTACCCCCAAGCTTAAATAATGTCATGTCCTCATGACAAATGAATTAAAAGTAAAAGGAGATAAAGGAGCTTCACTGATTTTTTTTCGATTCTGGCCTCATTTCCTTTTTCTTGGCTTCTCAAGGTTTCTCTCATATAATAAAGACAAGATTATGACAAAGAAAATATTCTTTTTCATGATAGGAGAAAACTTTCATTGTCTCAATCATGAAAGTGCTTCTTTATCATGGAAAAATATATTAATACATACTGCATACACACATATATATTATAGAATATAAACATGCAATTATTATTATTATTATTTTACCTTTTTTATATAATAAAAAAAACTAATTTTATTATATATATTTACTAAAAAGGAAATATTATATGTTACTACTAACAATCACTTTAAAGATTAAAGAGAGGGGAAGAAAATAGTTCTGAGTTTAACGTTACCAGCTCGACTTATTTTAAAAATTAGGCAAAAATGATTGTTGAGGCCTGTTTGTCGAAGAATCTGCTGATATAAGGCTTCGAACGATGACCGTTTACTTTGAATTTATCTCCCCCATCAGTACGTTGTATTTCAATGGCACCATAGGAGGTTACTTCTGTTATAATGTACGGTCCTGTCCAGCTTGACTTAAACTTTCCTGGGAATAATCTCAATCGGCTATTGTACAACAGAACTTGATCTCCAACTTTAAAATCTTTATGGCGGATGAGCTTGTCATGCCATATTTTGTCTTTTCCTTATACAATTTAGCATTGTCGTATGATGTAAGTCTGAATTCTTCCAACTCATCAAGCTGCAATAGATGATTTTTACCTGCATCTGGCAAGTTTAGATTCAACAATTTTATAGCCCAATATGCTTTATGTTCTAATTCCACAAGTAAATGACAAGCTTTTCCGAAAACTAGTCTATCATCTAACTTTAAAGACCAATCTTTTCGAGAAGAACCAACAGTTTTTTCTAAAATTCTTTTTAAATCTCTGTTGGATACTTCAACTTGCCCGCTTGTTTTAGCATGATATGGAGTTCCTGTTTTATGAGTTACTCCATATCTTGACAACAAACTAGCGAATTGTCTATTTATAAAATGAGTTCCTTGATCACTTATTATAACTCGTGGAGTTCCAAATCTAGAAAAAATATTTTTCTTGAGAAAAGCACAAACAATATGTGCATCATTTTTTCTAATAGCAATTGCTTCTACCCATTTTGAAACATAGTCAACAGCTACCAAAATATATTCACAGCCGTTTGAAGGAGGAAAAGGACCCATAAAATCAATGCCCCAAACATCAAATGTTTCACAAACAAGGATAGAGTTAAGAGGCATCTCATCCCTTTTTGAAATGTTACCGCTTCTCTGGCATTTGACGCAAGTGGCAACATAATTTCTTGCATCTTTGAATAAAGTAGGCCAAAAAAAATCCAGCTTCAAGTACTTTAGCTACTATCTGTCTTCATCCATAGTGACCTCCTACAGCTCCATCATGGCAATGACTTAAAATATTGTTCATTTCTATTTCAGGTACATATCTCCTGATTATGTCATTTGCACAAAATTTAAACAAATAAGGATCTTCCCAGTAATAATGTCTTGCCTCTTTTTTAAGCTTTTTTCTTTGATCGTAAGAAAAATATTTTGGAATCCACCCTCCCGCTAAATAATTGGCAATATCAGCAAACCAAGGAGGTTTATTTACAACTGTCGCGACTGAAAAGATATGCTCATCAGGAAATTCCTCTTGGATATCTAGTATTTCAGTAGGAGGATTCTCTAAACGCGACAAATGATCAGCTACCTGATTTTCTGAACCTTTTTTATCTTTTATTTCGAGATCAAATTCTTGCAAAAGGAGTATCCATCGTAGCAATCTAGGTCTAGCGTCTTTCTTTGCTAATAGATACTTTAAGGCTGCATGATCGGTGAACACTGTAACCTGTGTTCCTATCAAATAAGAACGAAATTTGTCAAATGCAAACACTACTGCCAATAACTCTTTCTCGGTTGTTGCATAATTCATTTGAGCTTCATTGAGGGTTCTGTTGGCATAGTATATGGGTCTAAAGATCTTATTTTTCTTTTGTCCCAATATTGCTCCTACTGCTATATCACTTGCATCACACATTATTTCAAATGGCTGGCTCCAATCAGGAGAGATAACAATTGGAGCATTAGTCAATTGTTCTTTGAGAAACTCAAATACTTTTTTGCAGTCATCTGAAAATTCAAACTTCATATCTTTCATCAGTAGGTTAGTCAGAGGTTTTGAAATTTTTGAAAAGTCTTTTATAAACCTTCTGTAAAAACCTGCATGCCCTAAGAAACTTCTAATACCTTTAACAGCGGTGGGAGGGGGCAATCCTGCTATAAGAATAATTTTAGTCTTATCAACTTCTATTCCTTTAGCAATGAGTTTATGTCCTAAAACAATTCCCTCTGTTACAATGAAATGATATTGTTCCCAATTAAGAACTAAATTTGTCTTTTCACATCTTTTAAGCACCAAAGTTAAATGATAGAGACAATCTTCAAATGTCTTACCAAAAAATGTGAAATCATCCATAAATATTTCAAGAAACTTTTTAGTCATATCTGAGAAAATTGCAGACATGCAACACTGAAATGTAGCAGGAGCATTGCTTAGTCCAAATGACATTCTTCGGTAAGCATACGTACCTTGGGGCCATGTGAATGTGGTTTTCTCTTGATCTTCTGGAGCAATTGGTATCTGATTATACCCAGAATATCCATCTAGAAAACAATAAAAACTACGGCCTGCAATTCTTTCAAGCATTTGGTCAATAAAAGACAAAGGAAAATGATCTTTCCTCGTGGCATCATTAAGTCGTCTGTAATCAATACAGACTCTCCATCCTGTGACTGTTCTAGTAGGTATGAGTTCATTATTTTTATTTTTTATTACAGTCATACCTCCTATATTTGGTACTATCTGTACAGGACTTACCCAAGGGCTATATATTGGATAAATGATACCTGCCGCTAGAAGTTTTACCACTTCTTTCTTGACAACTTCTTGCATTGCTGGATTCAGTCTCCTTTGTGGTTGGACTATTGTCACGACCTGGATTCCCACCCTCGGGAGTCGTGATGGCGCCTACTAGTATGAGCTAGGCAAGCCAATTAATTTCACAATTTATCCTTTTTACTCATTTTATATTCATTCGCATTTTTTAATAATAATAATAATAACATTTAAACAGCGGAATTTAACATAGGTGGAAGAAAGTAGCCATAAGCTATCTGAACATGAATATCCAATACAACTGTTTGAACCTCGACTACCCAGAACCGGTGTCACAGTATCACAGACGGTCTAAGATTTACTACATACAAAGTCTGAAGAAAATATCAACACACTGTTTCTGAATATAAGGAAAATGAAACAGGAAATAAGGATAGAGGAGACGCCAGGGCCTGTGGACGCCTGCAGGTCTACCTTGGATCTCCGCGTGAACTGAAAATAGCCTCCAACCTACGGTCCAAAGTCAACAGCACTGGGATCTACACAAAAGAGTGCAGAGTGTAGTATCAGCACAACCGACCCCACGTGCTGGTAAGTGCCTAGCCTAACCTCGGCGAGGTAGTGACGAGGCTAGACCAGACTACCACATAAACCTGTGCAGTTCAAATATATGTACAGTGGAAAAAGAGACACAGAAATAACCAGTCAAAATGGGAGGGTTGCATGATGTGGGTGAGATAGCAATTCCGAATAGAAAGACATCAAATAAACGAAAGAAATAACATAACTCAGATATCAACAAATAAGAATTCAATAAATGCACGGCATCACCCTTCGTGCTTTTACTCTCGTCATCACCAAAGCAATCATATAATAAAAGTGTGCACGGCATCACCCTTTGTGCTTTTACTCTCTTTCCTCACCATGTAATCAATAAAATCGGCACAGAATGGTACATTGTGCGGCACGACATCACCCTTCGTGCTTTACACTCTTTCCTCACAATAATACATGGCATCACCCTTCGTGCTTTATACTCTTTCCTCACAATACAAACAATGCACGGCATCACCCTTCGTGCTTTAAAGCTCTTCCTCACCGAAACAACAATCACAAACAATAGGGCAAGGGAATAAATGAAATTGCGATAAAGATCCCGGCAAGGGAACAACACTTTAAAAAATAAATCCCGGCAAAGGAACAACATCAATAATATCAACATCCAGTCAAGGGAGATAACAACTAAATCAACAATAACCCGGCAAGGGTGTCCACATGATAACTTCTTTTCTTTCTCACTTTTACTTCACAATTCACTTCATAACTCGAGCCAATGCTCTAGAGGTTCAATTATCACTTACACTTTCACAACATCGTTACATAACTTGAGCCAACGGTCCTCAATGTTCATAAGTCACAATTCCCTCCACAAACTTTATACAACATATAGAAACTATCACCAAGGCATGAAAGATACAACGAAGTCATGAAGATCACATTGTAAAGACTCACGGGCATGATAGACACCAACATATAGATACTCGTTACCATGCCTATACGTTGTACTCAACAATTAACACTTAACAAATATGACTCAACTCCTAATCCCTCAAGCTAAGGTTAGACCAAACACTTACCTCGAACTTCCACGGCCAGCTCAATCCTCAAACACCGCCTTTCTTTTCGAATTTGGCTCCAAATCAATTGTATCTATACATAATCGACTTAATAACATCAATATATGCTAAACAATCCAATCCCAATACTTAATTATAGCTTTCTAATCATTTTTCCCAAGAAGTCAAAAATTGACCCCGGGCCCGCTTGGTCGAAAAACGAAGTTCGGACCAAAACCCGATCACCCATTCACCCACGAGCCCGAATATATAATTTGTTTTTAAATCCGACCCCAAAACGAGGTCAGATTTCCAAATAATCAAAATGCCCTAACTCTACCCAATCCCTAATTTTCTACCCTTAATCTCATGTTTTAGGCCTAGAAATCTAGTGGGTGTTGATAAAAATGGAAGAAAACAAGTCAAAGATTACTTACCCAAGAGGTTATGGTGAAGGAGTTCTTCAAAAATCGCCCAAGAGGTGTGGAGAAGATGAAGTTTGTGAGAAATAATTAAAATCCCGTAATGTGTTATGTTTTTGAAACTTAGAATAACTGGGCGAAATTGTTCATCGCATTCGCGACAGGTTCATCGCGTTCGCGATGGGTTAGGCCTGCTAGGCCTTCGCATTCGCGGAGAAGTGACCCCCTCGAGCCTCCGCGTTTGCGTCCATGAGGTCACGTTCGTGTAGGTTTAATACCCTTCCCCTGCCCAGGCTCAATTAGCGTTCGTATTCGCGTTGCCAGGACCGCGTCCGTGAAGGGAAGACCCCCCCCCCCCCAACGCTTCACGTTCGCCACCTAGGCTACGCGTTCGCATAGAAGGCATTTTCCTTCAGCATAAATAACACATCGCGTTCGCGAGGGTCATCCCGCGAACGCGAAGAAGAAAGTATCAGCACACTAGAACTGGAAAAACCTGCAACTTTTGAGTTCCAAAAACCTTCCAAAACACATCCGAAACTCACCCGAGCCCTCAGGGCTCCAAACTAAACATACGTACTAACTCAAAAACATCATACGAACTTATCCGTGCAATCAAATCGCTAAACTAACATCGTTAACAACGAATTAAACCTCAAAATCAATGAAATATTTCAAACTTCTTAAAACATCAAATATTGCAATTAAGGCTTGAATCACGTCAAACGGATTCCGTTTCTTACCAAACTTCACAGAATTATCTTAATCCACATATAAGACCTGTACCGGGCGCCATAACCAAAATACTGGCCCGATACCAACATGTTCTGATCAAAATTCATTTCCAAATCCTTTAAACAATTTCAGAAAACATTTTTCTTTAAAAAATTTTATTTCTCGGGCTTGGGACCTCGGAATTCGATTCCGGGCATACGCCTAAGTCCCATATTTTCCTACGAACCCTCTGGGACCATCACATCACGGGTCTGTGTCCGTTTACCCAAAACGTTGATCGAAGTCAAATTAATTCATTTTATAGTCAAAATTTATCATTTTTCATAGATTTTCTCATTTAAGCTTTCCGGTTACGCGCCCGCACTGCGCCCGCAAATCGAGGCGATGCTATAAGAGGTTTTTAAGGCCTCGGAACAGAGAATTCTATTTAAAAGCAAGTGATGACCTTTTGGGTCATCATATTCTCCACCTCTAAAACAAGCGTTTGTCCTCGAACGGATAGAAGAAGGAAGTACCTGAGTCGGGAAAAAGATGGGGATAACGGCTCTGCATATCAGACTCGGACTCCCAGGTCGATGCCTCAGCAGACAGACCTCTCCACTGAACACGAACAGAAGGAAAGCTCTTCGATCTCAACTGACGAACCTGCCGGTCTAGAATAGCTACCGGCTCCTCCTCATAAGACAAGTCCTTGTCCAACTGGACAGTGCTGAAATCTAACACGTGGGATGGATCGCCGTGATATTTCCGAAGCATGGACACATGAAACACTGGATGCACGGCTGACAAGCTCGGCGGCAATGCAAGTCTATAAGCCACCTCTCCCACTCGATCAAGCATCTCAAACGGGCTAATGAACCTAGGGCTAAGCTTGCCCTTCTTCCCAAAACTCATCACGCCATTCATAGGCGACACTCGAAGCATTACCCGCTCACCGACCATGAATGCCAAATCACGAACCTTGCGGTCGGCATAGCTCTTTTGCCTGGACTGAGCTGTACGAAGCCTATCTTGAATAATCCTGACCTTGTCCAAGGCATCCTGAACCAGATCCGTACCCAACAACCGAGCCTCTCCCGGTTCAAACCATCCAATTGGAGACCGACACCGTCTACCACATAATGCCTCATAGGGAGCCATCTGAATACTCGACCGGTAGCTGTTGTTGTAGGCAAACTCTGCTAAAGGCAAAAACTGATCCCACGAGCCTCCAAAGTCAATGACACAAGCTCGGAGCATATCCTCCAAAATATGAATAGTCCGCTCGGACTGCCCGTCCGTCTGAGGATGAAAGGCTGTGCTCAACTCAACCCGTATGCCCAACTCTCGCTGAACTGCTCTCTAGAAATGTGAGGTAAACTGCATACCTCGGTCCAAAATGATAGACACGGGCACACCATGAAGACGAACAATCTCCCGGATATAGATCTCAGCTAACGTCTCGAAAAAATATGAGGCTGCCACAGGAATGAAATGTGCTGACTTGGTCAGCCTATCAACAATGACCTACACTGCATCGAACTTCTTCTGAGTCCGTGGGAGTCCAGTAACGAAGTCCATAGTGATACGCTCTCACTTCCACTCGGGAAGCTCAATCCTCTTAAATGAACCACCGGGCCTCTGATGCTCGTACTTAACCTGCTGACAATTCAAACACCGAGCCACATATGCAACGATATCCTTCTTCATTCTCCGCCACCAATAATGCTGCCGCAAGTCCTGATACATCTTTGCGGCGCCTGGATGAATAGAGTACAGGGAGCTGTGGGCCTCCTCAAAAATCAACTCTCGAAGACCATCCACATTAGGCACACAAACTCGACCCTGCAATCTCAAAACTCCATCATCACCTAAGGTAACTTGCTTGGCACCTCCGTGCTGCACCGTGTCTCTAAGGACACACAAATGGGAATCGTCATACTACCGATCTCGGATACGCTCTAGTAATGAAGAACGAGCGACTGTGCAAGCTAACACACGGCTGGGCTCAGAAATATCCAACCTCACGAACTGATTGGCCAAAGCCTGAACATCTAAAGCAAGCGGTCTCTCACCGACTGGAATATAAGCAAGATTGCCCATACTGGTTGACTTCCTACTCAAAGCATCGGCTACCACATTGGCCTTTCCCGGATGATATAAGATGGTGATATCATAGTCTTTCAACAACTCCAACCACCTCCTCTACCTCAAATTCAACTCCTTTTGCTTGAACAAATACTGCAGACTCTTGTGATCCGTGAACACCTCACATGCCATGCCATACAGATAATGCCTCCAGATCTTCAATGCGTGGACAATGGCTACTAACTCCAAATCATGAACCGGATAGTTCTTCTCATGAATCTTCAACTGCCGCGAAGCATAGGCAATGACCTTGCCATCCTGCATNATGGACCAGAGCATCCTGAAGAACTGGGGTGGCAAAAAACCCCTCTGGGACCTGAGCTGGGCCCACCAGAACTGCTGGGGCCGGAACCTCATCATCAACGTCAACCTGAGGCTCTGCCGCTGCTGCTGCTGCTCGGGGCTGAGCTCTGACCCTACCTCGGCCTCTAGCACGGCCTTGGCCTCGCCTTCTACCCTCGTGGGAGCTGTAGCTAGGGGCTCGGGCTGCTGGTCAGCGGATGAGGAAGCGCGCATTCTCGACATCTGCAAGAGAACAGAATAGAAATTCAATCAGTCATTGAGAAACCAAAACGCACGACAGGAGAGAAAAGATGTGAAATTTTCCTAACTCTAAAGCCTCTGGGATAAATATAGACATCAGCGTACCGATCCCTCAGACTCTACTAAGCTTGTCTGTGAACTGTGAGACCCATGTAACCAAGAGCTCTGATACCAACTTGTCACGATCCGGATTCCCACCCTCGGGAGTCCTGATGGCGCCTACTAGTACGAGCTAGGCAAGCCAATTAATTTCACAATTTACCATTTTTACTCATTTTATATTCATTAGCAATTTTAATAATAATAATAACATTTAAACAGCGGAATTTAACATAAGCGGAAGAAAGTAGCCATAAGTTATCTGAACATGAATATCCAATACAACTGTTTGAACCTCGACTACCCAGAACTGGTGTCACAGTATCACAGACGGTCTAAGATTTACTACATACAAAGTCTGAAGAAAATATCAATACACTATTTCTGAATATAAGGAAAATGAAACAGGAAATAAGGATAGAGGAGACGTCAGGGCCTGCGGACGCCTGCAGGTCTACCTTGGATCTCCGCGTGAACTGAAAATAGCCTCCAACCTACGGTCTGAAGTCAATAGCACTGGGATCTGCACAAAAGAGTGCAGAGTGTAGTATCAGCACAACCGACCCCATGTGCTGGTAAGTACCTAGCCTAACCTCGACGAGGTAGTGACTGTGAGCACGTGATTTTTTCCCTATATGAATTACTCCCATAATTTCAAACAAAATAATTTCTTTTCATTATTTTCAATTTTGTGGATTTTCGTGGCATTTTCTGTTAATTGTTTGTATTTGTTTGTGCATTTTAACTCATAAAAATACAAAAAATACGTTGCATTTGCATTTAGGATTTAACTTCGCATTTTAGGATTAATTAGCAAATTAGTTATTTTATGAAAATGAAAAAAAAAAAAAAATAGTGTAACTGGCACTTTTAATTTTAGCTTTTATTTTGAAGTAGTTTTCTTTAACTTGTTTCTAATTAATTGAGTTAACTATCATTTAGGTGTAACTAGTGACATTATTGAGTTAATTAGTCCCTAAGATTTAATTTTAGGAATTATATTAGAGGAAAGAGAAAAAGAAAAGAAGAAAATATTTTTTTGAAGGTGAAAGGGGATTAAAATGAAAAGAAGAGGAAAACTGGGCCAGTTTTGAATCAAAGTTCCAGCCCAAACCGTTCCCCCCTTAAGACCGGTCGAGCCCAGCCTAAGTTTCCCCAACCCGGTCCGTCTCATGCCCCAATCAAACGACGTCGTTGTAGCCATTAGATCGTAGCCGTCGAGGTTACTCGATCTAACGGCCCTGAAGCTTGGGTTCGTTTACATATAACTGTCCGAAACACCCTACCCCCCCCCCCCCCTCACTCATCTCCTTCATCTCTCAGACGACCATCCATACACCACCGTCCTCCGCCCGCCGGAAATCGCCCACGGCGGCGGACGGTGGCCAATCCCTTCCAAACTTACACCATGGACTCCCCTCACCTTCCCCATTCCGAATCCCCAATCCATTTTCTTCGAATCACCCCAATACTCTTCGAATTTTAGATCGAAATAGGATCCCAAAACCCTAGTTTACCCAGCCAGTCCCAAATTAACACCATACAACCGCTTTGATCCCCTCACACCCAATATGTATCTGATTTCCCTCAAATCATAGTCAAACGCTTCGAATCTTGGATCTGAAATATGAAGCCTAGTCCCTATTTCCCCTTTTGCATCTTTGGGTCTTGAGAGTTGTGGGTGAACTCAAAACACCCGTTAGTCGATTTGTTCTTGTTATGAACAGACGATTAACGGTAGTTCGAATTCACCCTTTGGCTCGACGGTCTGAGTGAGTGATTCCAGTGTCGAAGAGGTTGTTTCAGGTAATCCTCTTTTCTTTTCGTCGTTTGATTTTGGTTTTTCTGCATTCTGTCATAATTTGGGCTGTATATTCAGTCATTAAGTTTTTTTTTCTTCTTTTCTGAGTTTTATTTCTTATAGGTTTGAGGTTGATCAGGTTTAATTGTTTGTTCATTAAGAGAATGGAAATGGTGGCATGTTAGCGTTTAGAGATATTATCTATTATGTCCAGTTAATCCAGTTCATTCGTATTAGTTTCTGAATAGATTCAAGTATTCCTGGGTGTGTCGTTTTGATTCCAAGGTCACTGAGCAATAGATGCATGTCTAGTTATAAGTTTAAAGTAATTCAATATTGGTTTGTTTGATCTTCCTTGCTTCTTCAGTTCTGAAACTTGTTGTTTATCCTAGTTGTTAATTAGTGGGAACTCTTAGGGCCTTAATTGCATCAAAGGAAACTTCAGGGGTCTTAAGGGTCAGGTAAGGGCTGTAATAACCAATCAGGCAAAGGGCAATTCAGGAATTCTAGGTGGGGGAAGGAATCATTTCTGTTGGGTAGAAGTTTCCAGAGATAGGATAAGTGTGAGTCAGTTAAAAAGCATGATTTTCAGATTCTTTAGAAGGGTAGGAGGGTAAAAACAATTTGGTCAAGAGGGGTAAAATGGAAAATGGCTAATTAGGATAAGGTTGCCCTAATCCTTGCCTATAAAGGCACCCCACACTTGTCTTGCAAAAGGGTCGGGAAAAAAAAGAATTAGAGAGCTGAAGAACACAAAAATACAAAAAAACCTGCAAATTCTACTGTTCCATAGAAGGATTAGAAGCTGAAAAATCCAGAAACAGAGGCTGCATGTTTTTAGAAAGAGTGTGAGAGCTAGAAAATCCAGAAAAGACTGTCATTCTACTATTCCATTGATTCTGTTCAATTTCAGTAAAAAAAAATCAGATGCTACACATTCTGAAACTTGAGAGATTAAGAGCGAAAATTCTGAGAAAATAGAAATAACAGCCACAATCTTTTACTATTTCATTGATTTTACTTTTCTATTAATCTCGAACTGGCTGAGACAGCTTGGTATTTCATTGAGGGTTTGAAATGGCTTGAACTTGTTACCTTTTGAAAGTTTGGTTTGAATTCTGCAAGTAGAGTTATTGTTTCATTCGTGTCTGGGCTGATTTCATCGGGTATTTGGTTGAATCTGGGCTGCTCTGCTGTTGCTGTTGAGTCCTGCTTAACTTCACTGCCACTGTTGTCTCCTAAGCTCATTGTTTTCTTTGTTTATTGCTGTGAACAGATACACACTTCCTGAAACTTTTTATGTGTTGTTAAAGCTTTGAATTGAAGAAAGGAATTAGAAGGAAATTTTGAAAGCATAGCTTTGTTTTATCTGATTATTTTGCCTTAAGTTTTTGTTGTTAGTAGAGTGCTACCCTGCTAAATAGATTTTCTTGATAAGAATATGGACCTTCCTCGTTATCGAATTTGGGATTTGTTGTAAGACTGGACTGGAATTTTTTTTAGCTCCATGCATGTGTATTCGAAGGATCTGTTGTGTTTAGCATTCATGTTCAGTCAGTCATATACTCAGGGATCTCTAGGTTAGTCTTCATGCGTGAATTACTCAAGTTTTAACCATCTTGTGTGATCTCTAGTTTAGCCCTCTTGTGTGATCTCTAATTTAGTCTTCATGTGTGTCAACTCTTAATCACAATTATATTTCATTTTTTGTCTGATCCAAATCTGTTTTAAGGCAATATTTCAGGACTATTAGGACTTCAAAAATGAATTATCTGATTAGTTAAATAAAGGGTCAAGCCATGTGCAGAACTACCATGCTTTACTCATAAGTACGTGAAGTAATTTTGATGTTGGTTTGTTCATTTAGAAGTCCTTGAAGTTCAGTTTTACTGCTACTGTTAAATTACATCAATGTGGAAACGATTGAATTTCATGAGTAGTTAGTGATTCGTACATGTATTTTGAATTCGATCAACAACTTTGGAAGATTAATTTGAGTCTTTTAAAAGAGATGATCCAGCAGTGTGCATTGGGCCGTGGGGTCCACGCTTGGGCCCAGAGTCTGAAGTGGCGTGTCCTTTTCCCTCCCTTCATTAGATTTGGGCTCGCATTGGGCCCAAATGCTCCATTACTGCCGAGTTCAGCTCAATGTTCTAACACTTGGGGTAGTTACAATCTTAGTAGCCCTTTAATCTATTTACCAATTCCCTAAGATCGGAGGGTTGAATGTTACTAATTAGGCTTTTAGAGACAATACTTAATAGAAAACCATAGTTCCTTTAGATTGGCCTTAAAATAAAAATGAGGTGCGCCGCGCCAAATAAAAATTCATAAATCGCGCGGCCCTCTTTAACTGTTTATATTAAAATATTTAGAATTCGGGACGTGCCATTTAGCGAATTTTCATGGCCTCCCGCAAAGTTAATAACACGTAAGTCACTTTAGGCGCGTGTTTTAATAATCTACTTTCCTAAACTCGGGTGCACATTTATGTGACCTAAATCCAAACCCCAACGAAGTTAAAATATGTCAAAAATCACGGGTGCATTTATGTGACGTGGTTCGAGACGTGTTTTAACGATGTTGCAATTCTCTTTAAAAATATGAATAAAAGCGGTTAAAAAGTTAAGATTTGCACATAGGTTCATAATTTTTAAAATCAGATAATTTAAGCCGAATATGACATTTGAGCGACCGTGCTAGAACCACGGAACCCGGGAATGCCTAACACCTTCTCCCGGGTTAACCGAATTCCTTACTCGGATTTCTGGTTCGCGGACTGTTAAACAGAGTCATTCTTTTCTTCGATTCGGGATTCTAAACCGGTGACTTGGGACACCATAAATCTCCCAAGTGACAACTCTGAATCTTAATAACAAATCCCGTTTCGATTGTCCTTTAATTGGAAAAACTCCTTTATTATACCCTTTCGGGGGTGTAGTAAGGAAAAAGGAGGTGTGACAGCTCTGGCGATTCTGCTGGGGAGAAGAACCCAGAACTTCGGTTTAGGGTTCGAGAATTAGAGCTTGGAATAATTGTTGTATTTGGCTTTGTTTAATATCTTATTTTATTACATGTTTGGGATTAATGTGCAAAATGTTGCTTTTTACCGCTTTGATATTATTTGAATTGTATATATAAAACTGTTACGAAACCCCTCTCTTCTTATCTTCGGGGATGTGCTCGCTGGTCGAGACTCCCCATTCTGTTAGTGTCATACCTTGAAATAAGAAAGAGGCTCGGACCAGTTACTAAGCCGGATGATCTTTCGGATCTCCGGTACGTAGCCCCCTCCTCGACTCGAGTTGTCCGCTCGGGTACACGGTCTAGAACAAATACCCAGGTTTTGAACCTAGAATAACTCAGCCTCATGTCGGATCCCTAGTAGGAACGTTTGTGTGCATCATGTGCATTTGACTTAGGGGACTCAACACAGGGGTTGGATCCGTCTAGGACAGGTGACCCGAAATGAAAACAGACCATCCTGATGCATCCTACTACTTGTGTATTTATTTGCTTCAGACTTGCATGCTGACCGATTTTTGAAATCTGAGGAAAAGTTGAGAAGAATAGTTGGATAGAGTTCAAGAGAGTTAATTGCCTGTGTTGGAAAAACAAAATAAAACCAAATAGTGTCGAAACTCTGCCAAATTTTTGAAAAAAAAAAAGAAAAAAAAGAGTCTTGTTTTTCAAAAATAGTTTGTTTACTTATCAATGAAAAGAAAAAGAAAAAAAAAGAAAGTCTTGTTTTTCAAAATAGTTTGTTTATTTATCAATGAAAAGAAAAAGAAAAAAGAGTCTTGTTTTTCAAAAGTAGTTTGTTTATTTAACAATGAAAAGAAAAAGAAAAAAAAGAGTCTTGTTTTCAAAAATTATTTGTTTTATCTACCAATGAAAAAGAAAAAAAAAGAGGTTTGTTTTCAAAAATAGTTTGTTTTGTTTGCCCGAACTACGCCAGTTTGATTCCCACAGGGTGTGGGATACGTAGGCAACCCCCATCGGGTCCAACTTCTTTTTGCGAAAATAGCCCAAAATGAACAAAATTTTATTTTTATTGTAAATAGGTAAGGTGATGCCGTTTTTGTTGAAAATAGCCGAATGTTCCCGAAAGGGACGCCGGAAGGCTGATTTTGCATAAACAGCCACCTTTAGTCTTTTTCCAATTTTTGGCCAGTTAGCGGGCACGGCCTTAAAATCTTCCTTCGGAGGTGCTGAAAGGCCGTATCTGCAAAACTGGGCTTTTGGCTTTGGAATTAAATAAATGTTAGTTTTAATTTTGGAGTCAAATAGAATAAAATCATGATAGTTTCGCTTAATCACCTTAACAAATGTGCAGGATGAGCACAATCCAAAATGAACCTTCCTCGTTCATAAGTAAAATCCCTTTGGAGTTGCGGCTGTGGTGGAATGATTTAGGTGGAGAAGGGCAAGACGAGGTCAAAAAATACTTGGGGGGCCTTCCCGGATTGTTGGAGATTATACCCAGGGGAGACATCATAAGGGCCTTGGTCACATGCTGGGACCCGGCTCATAATGTATTTCACTTCTCAGATTTTGAGCTTACCCCAACAGTGGAGGAGATATCCGGATACATCGGGGGTCCCAAGGTTCCTCTAAGACACCAATACCTGATTGCTCCAAGGACCGTA